CCCCCCTTCCCAAATACTGCAGGTAAACAGATTTTTTGCCTTGAATGGAATCAGCATTCTCTTCTGTAATAAACAGTTGCTTGCCCTGGGCCATGCAAGGCTCCAGCAATCTGCTCCTGTGCTAGCGACAGGCTTGTGGCCGAGGGGCCTAAATCTTTCAGGGCTTTTTGAGCTTGATCACCAAAAGGTTGGAGAGGCTGGAGGGAGGAGGGGGAAAAGGGCTTTTAAAAGAACTGCCAGGTAAGAGCTAAAAAATCACTGAATATTCAAAATCAAACGCTAAAGCCTAGTGGATTTCCCTAAGCAGATTTTAGGCGGCCACAATGAAGGGGAAAAGACTGGAAGGGGAAAAAGGCCCAGGTTTGGGGATGAAAGGGTGCAAAAACCTACCCACCCCTGCTTTTCTTCCAGTCCCAGCTGCTCCGGAAGGGCTAGCGCTGGGAAAGGAAACAGAGCGGAATCGCTCACATTATTCTCGCTCTTCGGATCTACGGTGCCCGGGCGCCTCTGGGCTTGTGTGAGCGTCTTCTTTCTAATGCCAATGCCAGCGACACTAAGGGTGATTGTTTTGTTCCTCTCCCACTCCTTTGCAGGCAACTCTGTAAAGAATTTACGGATCTGCTGGCCCAGGATCGGACGCCGATCGGGAACAGCCGGCCCAGCCCCATCCTGGAGCCCGGAATCCAGAGCTGCCTCACGCACTTCAGCCTCATCACGCACGGCTTCGGCGCCCCGGCCATTTGCGCCGCGCTCACGGCCCTGCAGAACTATCTCACCGAGGCGCTCAAAGGCATGGACAAGATGTTCTTGAACAACACCACCACTAACAGGCACACGTCTGGGGAAGGCCCAGGTAGTAAAACTGGCGACAAGGAGGAGAAACACAGGAAATGAAAAATTAAAAAAAAAAAAGGAAAAATGTTTTAAATACAAAAGGAAAACAGAAAAAAAATAATTTTAGCTTTAAAATATTGGATTGGCTTTGGAAGAATTATATTAGGTAGAATACACATACAATCAAAATTAAAACAGAAAAGCTAAGTAACTTAAAAACTGAGGCGTACAACGGAGCAACATTATCAGTTCTCAGTGTCTATTTCAAGATACACTTGGAGACAACCGTCCGGATTTTCCACTTCGGTTCTTTCGAGCTTAGTAATACTGATAATAAAAGAAAACCATGTTTCCCCTCCCCCATTTGGAAAATAAACATAAGACTAAACATGAAAAACCGCTAACTTATTGGAAGAAAATCGGAGAAACTGTTGCTGTCAGTGCTTTGACAGCTGGTTGACTGAGACGCACGAACTTCTTAATTTTTAATATTTTTTTAGGAAACTGCCTCGCAGTCCCCGCCCTTCCCCCTCGACTCACCCCTCTCCCAACCACCCTTTTCTGCGTTGCCCTCTCTTTCTCAAGCTGTCACGGGAATCATCCGGGATGAACAGGAGTGTGGTTAGCCCTTTTGCGTTGTGTTTAAGTCCCCTCAGTCACACCCCATCCGCACCCCGGCCCCGCCCCGTCAGGCCCTGCATTTTAGACTCACCGGTGGGTGCCCAGCTCCCTGGGCCGTTTACGTACTTAGGGAGGGCGAGGGCGGGCGGGGCGGGAGGGCCGCGGAGGTGCAGGCGGTGGCTGCAGCTTTTGGTGCGGGCTGGCCGAGCAGAGGCTCCGGCGGCTGAGGAAAATCCGGACCAATACGTTGATTCAGACTCATCATCAGCTCCTTTAAGAAATGTTACTAGTTCTCAGCCTTGCCAGCATCTGCATACAGAGAATCTTGGCATTTGTTATATTTGTGTCATCTACCAATTTTAAGAACAATAGTAAAAAAAACCCAAAAACCCACAATATGAATACGTTGATTAGTATGTAATTCCTTCGGAGGGGTATGTACCATTTCATTCTCTTCTGTTTTCCAAAGCTTTGCCCGCATGGTTTATGAGCTTCTTCAAAGAGGACTGGGGCTTCCTACACAATCTATAAGGTACAGAGAAAAAAAAATCCGATCCCTTTTTAATCAAAGCCTGTGTGTCAGAATTCTGCAGGTGCACTTCTTTAAAGAAGCTCAAAGGGAATAATTTAGAAAGTAGCCAATAAGAGACTGGAGCAGCTTTGAGTCTAGTTGCTAACAGATAACACGGAATTCTGGGGGACTGGGGAGCCGCACAATGATTTTTAGGGGAGAAGAGTAAGGGTTCTTGGGGCCCAATATTATGACAGTATTGCCCTGCCTTTAAAATGGATTCCTTGGGCTCCGGCGACAGCTGTTTGAACAGGGAAAGCATCAGCTTTGGGAGTGGTCGTGGGAAGGAGTGTGGTGCAGTCTCCCACGGTTTAGCTACATTTTGCTTTCTTACAAGATGCTTTATGAATGAGGCATTTTGTCCCCCTCCCAGACGTGTACTTATTTTTGGCATATAATGGTAAAATAATGCAAAGTGAAAGGAGATGTATTTCGGCTTTGAATTTTACTGTCTGGATACGCTGGGACTATTCCCGGTGGATGAAGTTTTATGCGTTTACTATCTCTCACTTCTGGCAGCCCCGCCCCTTCCTCGGGCTTCATCTGAGCTTTATCATGAAATAAGATCTGGAACCCATTGTCCCCACCCTCTCAAATGCAGTGGGAAATCCCCTAGGGAGGGGCTGGGTGAGCTAGGTCTCTAAATTTAGTATCGATACACAGTACCTCTTTATACAAAGTAGACATTAGGACTTTTGCCACATCCCTTGAAGATAAAGATCCAGATGTCTGTTTTGCAGGATTTACAGTTAGGACCCCCTGGGACTTTCAGTTCTGCCGCCTGGATGGGTCTTGGGCTTGGGGGAAGGTTGGAGGGCTGGGTTTATGAACCTGCTTTGAGCTTTGCGCTGACATTTTTATCGGGGAGGGAGTTAAGAGTGCTGATTTCATCACTAGGAGGGCCAAAGCAACGGTTAAAGTCACACCCCAGCCCTTCTACCGCTAGCGCCTTTGGGGGCCTTTGGGTGTGCCAGGCTCAGCCCTAGACGAACTGAAGGAGTACCAAGGCGGGGAACGAACTAAACCTTATGAAGAGTATAGACCACCTCTCCACNTGGCGGCTGGAACGCCGAGCGTGCGGGGAGCCGCGGCCGCCACGTGCTCAGGACCGCGCGCACGCCCCCCCCCGTCAGACCCACGCGCAGCAGGCTGGCTTCACCTCTCCCACCCGTGCTGCGATCTTGGGGATCTTAACCCTTTCCCCTCCCTGCGCCCGGCGTCCCGCTCCCTCCTACCCCCCAGGACACTTACAGGGGACTCACTAGCTTGAGTGAGACCTGGAAGCTATACACACTGTATCTAAAACAGAAGTTTCACGAAGTAACCCCCTTCGTACCTGCTGTGTATTCTGGTACCTATTTTGTTTTAAAATGCAGTTGGCTGCTGAGTTGGTCACGACCCACTAATGCATTGATCCTCACAGTTTGAAAAACTGTTCTAGACTGTGACCTCCTTTCTCCAGTAACACCACCACCAATAATAACAATGATACCACTTTGGAATTATTAATAGTTGCTCCTCCGAGCCATTCAGACGCTCCCCAGTATTGGAGGAAGACAATCCACAGACTCCTTGTGGAAAATTGGGGAGCGATGGCTTTTATCTTAAGATTTTTAAGTCTTCCCAAAAGTCCCTGCCAAAGCCTGAACCCTTTGGGTAGTCTCCTGATATGAAGGTGACATTGTATGAGATGAAATTTTCAAGTTAGCCTATTTGGGGGGTTGAAAAGTTTCATTCTTTCCTAAAAGTGGCTGTGTGAACAAGTACAGCAAGAGAGGTCAGAGTAACTGGGTTTTTTCTTGTATTTTTGCCCAGACCTTAGCACATACAGGGAGAACCTTGGGAGGGTGTGACCCACGGACTTTTCTCACTTTGAATCCTCTTACTCAGGTCTACTTTGGTTCAGTTTTCAAGTGAGTTCTTTGAGCCCCAGGGTGTGGAAGTTTCAGTCACCCCCAGGCATTGAGCGTGTGTGAGTGTGTATAAAGCTTGCTATGAGATTAAGTGAGATAATCAATATAAAGTGCTTATCACATAACTAAACTCCCTAAAGTGTTAGTTTTAGTGTTGTTATGATTGCCATCATCATTAGTTTCATGTTTCAGTCTTCCTTCCCCTTTAACCCAACTCCATTTTACAAGGACTCTTGACCCCTTCCTTGCAAAGCCCACCTGTTTCAGCTAGTGCCTTCTCCTCTCTGAACCACGCAGTTCTTTCCTCTTTTCTGCAGGGTTGTGCTTGCCCAGTTTCTGCTCACCTAACTGGCTCCATGACAAGGAAAGAGCTTGTGTGTGTGCGTGTGCAACTTCTACCTTCTCTAGACCCACAACCTACACTCTAATTATTCCCATCTGGTATGATTTTTTTTTCTCACGAGATAAAGAAAGAAACGACTCTTTTTTTTATGCTCTGTATTGCAGAAATTAAGCAAACCTCAGCAAACTATCAGCAAATAACCAAAAGGAAGGGGGCGGGGGAAATGTGCTAACCTCAAGTTAAAACTTCTTCAAGCTCCACTGGGCTTTAGATTGCTAAGTCTAAACTTTGTTTCAGGAACACTCTGAGGTTAATCAGAATGTTAATTCTTGCAATTTCAGAGCCAAATCGAAAAATGGGGGGAGATCTTTGCGAGAAAGGCTAGAAAAAATCGGTTTGAATTTACCCGCGGGCAGGCGCAAAGCAGCAAATGTCACGTTACTCACCTCCCTGGTGGAAGGTAAGCAAGACGTGTGGCCATTTCACGAAGTGGCTGAGCTTAACTGTCGGCTGAAGGCTGACATTTTACACATTTCATGATTAACTGGAAATCATTGCAATTGTTGTGCCGTTATGAGTAGATGTCAAGCAACTGCCTGAAGAGAAGTTCAAAGGTCTTTTTACTTAGAGGGAGCCAGCAATTGTAGAGAGGCCAAAGGACATGTATGAGGGTCCCTATGCTGTGAAAAGTGCTCAGATCCAGCCTCCAAGTGAGTGCAAGGGTCACCTCTGCCGCCAGGTGCAGGACACAGTGTCTTAAACACCCTCTGTATGAACTTGTGCAAGAGTAACTATAAGCAGCAATCCATTCTGTATCCCTTCTTCCCAGATTTTACCTCTGAATCAGTAGTAGAAAAGACATTGTCTATTTATGAAGCTATTATTACATTCAAAATCCCTAATGTTTATTTAAAAACGCATGTCACTCCCATGGTCCTATATTTCCTGTTGATTACTGGGACTTATTGTTATTCAATTATAGCTTGGTAAGGCCAATGATGCCTAAGAGAAAATTGGTGGAGTGGGGGTGAGGAAATATGGAGGGGAGTCAGGTATAATCTTCAATGTAAGATTCATCAGTTGTGAATTAGAGGGATATAATTACAACATGCATATTATAATTTGCTCATCATTTGGGGATATTTATGATATGTAATAAAGAAGATCTTCTACACAGTCTAGAACAAGAGGATCTGCAGTTTAATTTGTGGGATGGGGAAGGGATAAGAAATACAGCCAGGTGGTCCTGATGGAGGAAGTTGTAGAATTTTCTCTAAGAGTCTAACAGGTAGTTTTTTTCTTCTATTTTTCATGAGTGTGATATTATGACACTGCTGTGGGGAGTTGGTGTTTGGAGGAGGGGACCTTAGAATATTTAAGCAGTAACCATAAATTCATCACATTTAGAGGGATTGCACTTTTCAAGCTTCAATGCAAGTTGCCAGGCTCAAACTTACCCTCCAGGGGCAGCACTCACCAAATATCAAGACCACACTTATTAGTGGTTGACTTTTAGCTTGGGGGAGAGGGGGTTACTTTTTGCCCTTCAGGGAATTGCTAATATCACAATCCTCATTTTGAAAAGCAGTTAATGTAATCTCAGCCCAAGACAGGGATTTGGGTGGAGAAGGGAGGAAACTGGAAAACTCACGGAAATTCCAATATTTGGTTGGCAGGTTTCAGTTTTATGAATCATTGTTAAGCATCGTGTCTGAAGGGTTTTGTTGTTACTAAAATAATGCTGATTAAAAATAAGACATGGTCCTTAAAATAATGAAGCTCTGAGATAATTCACCATATTTCTTTTTTCATGTTCGGGATCTTCCCTCAAACCCCTAAGGCTGTGCTTTAAAGGGTAATAATGCTTTATTTGAGAGGGCCTTCCACATAAGCTGAGAACTTTCTCAGATGTCCAGCTGCTGTGTCATCTTTGTGCGGTAGAAAGTCCTTAGGTAGGAGGATGATGACGGGAACCGCTGAAGAGGAGAAACCTGAAACCTACCTAGCTGGAAACTGCCAAGGAGAATAAATATTTCATTGCTGGATAGAAATATTCATTCCATACGTATTTTACACATAGTCTTTAATATATGTGGACATATACACATATTGATTTATTTATGTTTGTATATATGTTATTCATAAGAGATTTTTCCTAATATAGAGGGAGATTACAAAAGATAACACAAAAGATAGGAAAACTTTTACATTTATTTAAAGCAAGTGTAAAAAGAGGGAAATCCGGCTTGAATATACAGCCTACTGTGTAGACAGATGCATGTGTAAGATGTCTCAAGAATATATCGACCCACCTTTCCCTCAAGACAAAGCATGAAGTGCGGGAGACCTGAAGTATCCAGGGAGTGTCTAGGATCATTAGGGAGAGGCTGGAAAGAGCTGTGGGAGCAGTTTGTTTTGTTAACTTTGACAGCCTGAAAATCATTTTTACTTAGGGCATCTGTCTCACCTCTGCTTTTGCCTCCCAACAGCTGGCCTCTTCTGTAAATAACAAGAGTTGACCAGGGTGTATCTCCTGCTCAGGGATGATTAGTGGTTGGGTGCTGATGATTAATGTCTGCTGCTATCTTTTCAGGAGAAGCTGTTCACTTAGCTCGGGATTTTGGATACATCTGCGAAACAGAGTTTCCTGCCAAAGCTGTTTCTGAGTATTTGAACCGGCAGCACAC